AAAAAATTCTGATCTTCAAAAAAAAAACTTTTTAAATAAATTGCATCATGCCAATTTTATTCGAAGATTTTATTGGATTTTGATTTCGGATTTCATCGATCACAAATGGGAGGAAATTAACTAGGAATAAACCCTAAAAATCAAGTGGGCTAAATAAATAATTAAAATATAAATTAAAATAAAGATTAGGTGGGTTTGGAAATAAATAAAATGTTATCGCAACCATATTAACAACAATTAAATTTTAATACGATGGAATGAGAATTAACTTTAATTAAAAATTCAAATGAATTATATAAACAAAATATGAGTGATATTAAATTAGGTGAATCTTTAGTTAGAATAATATAAATATGGGGTAAAACTTCATTTATGCAAAAATTAAGAATTTCGGAATCAAATTCATATGAGAAACACTCTAAAATCGGTTTATTGGAAAAGTGCACTGTTCATTGCCCGCCACGTGTTCGACCTGGTCCCCAGCCTTTCCCCTCCCCTGCCACGCGCGCCGCTCCGCCTCCCCTCTGCCGCGTCGCTCGCCGTCGCATCACCGTCGTCGTCGCGTCGAGCCCCGTGCCGAGCCGCGCCCGTCCCGCTGCCGCGCCGCTCCCCGTCGCGTCGCCGTCCCGCGTCGCGTCGCCGTCCCATCGCCGCCTGCCACCTCGCCCCGCGCGCCCACGCACCCCGTCACCGCCCGTCGCGTCGCCGTCCCCTCCTGCGCCGAGCCGCTCCGAGCCCCGCGCCGCGCCGCCCGCTCGTCGCCATCGCAGCGCGCCGTCGCCCGTCGCGTCGCCGTCCCGTCGCCGCTCGTCCGTCGCCGTCGCGTCTCGCGTCCCGCCGCGCGGCGAGCCCCGCGCCGCCCCGAGCCCCGCGCGCCGCCCCGAGCCCCGCGCCGCCATCCCGTCACCGCAGCCGCGTCGCCGCCCCTCCCCCTCCTCTCTTTCCCCTCTTATTCTTCCCCTCTTCCCCTCTTCCCTCTTCCCTCCTCCTCCTTCCCCCTTATCTCTCTCCCTTCCCCTATAAAAGCCTCACTATTCCCCCCCTTCTCCCCGTCTCCACCACCCACTCCTCCACGCCGTCGCGCCGCCATCGTAGTGCCGCCGCACCGCCGCCGTCGTGCTGCCGCGCCGACCGTTTCCGTGCCCGCACCGCCGTTCTCGCGCCACCGTGCGCCGCCGTCGCTGCCGCCGTCATCGCCGCTGCCGCCGCCGGTGAGTCGCCCTCCGTTTCCCTCGAGTCCGCCGCCGCCACCGCTCGGGTGGGAAAGAGAGAGAGCCGAGAGAAAGAGAGGGAGAGCCGAGAAAGAGAAGGAGAGGAAGGGAGGAGGAAGCCAGGAGAGAAAAGAAAAGAAAGGGAGAGAAAGAAAAAGAAAAGAAAAGAGAGGAGAGGAAAAAGGGAAAGAAAAAGAGAAAGAAAAATTTAGGGGGAAATTTAAAATATTTGCAAATATTAGAATTTAATTGTAGGATTAATGAAAATATAGTTAGATAAACTCTTACTAATTAAATACCTAAAATACTAGCATTTAAATATAGGATTAATGAAAATATAATGGGATAAATTCCTATAGATTATAGATAACTTTTAGTACTCTCCATAAGAAATCAATTCGCGGTATTAATTTAGATGTAATTAATAATTAAACAAATGTATGAATTCTCGTAAATTATTGTGGATTATTTCTGGGTAATCTCTATAAATAATCGATCAACGGTAGCGATTCGGATTTAATTACTAGAGTGTTAACCGTGTATTATATTTAATCATAGACTAAATTAAGTCGTATAATATTATAAGATAATTTTAGGATTCCGCTCGACATTTAGCTCGCGATAAGAAATTTCTAACCTAATATACGGATATAATGCTAGGGTAGATTAAATTAAAAACATACGACAACAAAATATTGTAACCGCAAAATAATTTAAACCAAAATTGGGGTTTGCCATAGTTCGCGGATAGTAAAATTAATAAAAAGGAATTGACTTTCGCGTTCGACTTCCATTTGGATTTACTTGGATTTTTATTTGAATTCTAACCGAATTCAAATCAATTTTCGCACGTAACTATAGAGACCGAGGGAGCCGCGGATCCAGGTGAAGGCCAAGACCCGCAAGACCTCGAGCAAGGCAAGTCATCACTATTCCTTGAACATGTTGATCCCAATTGCGAAATTGTTTTGTTTATAAATAAAATTGCATGCAATTATGAACCTCCTACTTGTGATTATGCCATGCCTTGATTATTGTTCACCTTTAAATCTTTGTAACCATAGATACGTACGAGTCCCTAGTCAACTATGACACTTGCTTAGAAATGCTATTTTAGATTCATGCATACTCATATTTATCAAATGCTATATGCTTGGGCAATTACCTTTGGGAAGGTAATTGAGATGCGGCATGTGGAGACATGAGCGCCACATTGCCATGATATTGATGACATAATTTGTGAAAGGAAAATAAAGTAAAACAACTGTTTTCGACTGGGGCGGCTGGAGGACTTGGGTGGTGTCCGGAAAAGGCTAGTGCCGTCCCTGGTCAATTAAGGACCGAGCCATGAAGTTAAGCATGAAACGACCCCCGTACAACCGCACTTCTCGTATGGGTATAGACCTAGCGGAGTAGATAGCTGAGCGGAGGCAGTATCCATGCATAGTGGTTTCTTGATGTGTGAGGCAGGGGCTCTACGGTGGGGCAGCCATTGGTAGGACCGCGAGGAGGGTGTCTACAGTGGTGTCGCCATCGGTAGGAATGCCATGTGAGAATCTAAAACATAATTATAACTTAATGCATGTGTGAGTCTTCCCTTCCCGGGTGCGCCAGAACTCCTCTCACTGCTAGAAACCGTGTACGCCTAGAGTGCATGAGGATGAAAAGTTCATGGAGCGGGTACTGCCAATGCGAGGTTATCGAAAAGCTTTGCCGTGACGCGTCTCATGTGTTGGGACGAGGCTCATGTGTTGGGCAGTCGCGGAGTGCGGGTAAAGTGTACATCCACTGCAGTGTGAGTAAACCAAACCTATTCGAATAGCCGTGCTCGCGGTTATTGAGCACCGGGACATGTATTACACTTGGCTAGACTCTAAATTCTTAACTTGTGTGGGATGGGATATTGCATGATGAATTTTATGCTGTTGGAGCCACTTCCTGAGAGGCGAGAAGGTGGACGTCCTCAGAAAACCATGACGAATCAATGGCGGGAAGCTATCCTTGGGATCACAATGGATGGTGGACAGAACCGTCGTTGTTTAAATACAAACTCTGGTACTAAAAATTTGATCAGTCAATGCTAGGTCTTAGGCTTGTGAAAAGAATTACAAAACTTGCTTTGCGCAAAAGAACTATGGCCATCCTTTGAACTCCCCCTTTCATATGCATTGTTGCTGTGGTGGCTTGCTGAGTACGGTTGGTACTCATCCTTGCAAATATAAAATTTATTAGAAGTGGGAGATGAAGCCTCGGAGGATCCCTATGCCTATTATCAGGAGGGAGATGAAGACGATGGCGTCCAGTAGGTCTTAGCACGGTCGTTGCCTGTGGCAATGGCATGCCGCTGCCTGAATTCCGCTGCCTTATCTATTTCTGCTTTTGGATGTATTCCGGACCTCTCGGTCCGATGATTTAAGGCTATGCCTGCGGGCCTATGATGTAATAATTCGTATTAAACACTCGTGTATGTGCACTTGATATTCCAGCTATGAATTCGTGTGTACCAAACTACTTGATCCAGGGAAATGGTACTGTTTACACGATTGATTCCTGTTATAAAAACGGGGGTCCACAGTTTCTGTAAAGTCGGCTAGTTTAACAGGGTTAGATCGTTCTAGCTATGATTTCATTAGTGTTTCTAAGAATGGTTTTGTACCTATCTCTATAAAGCCGGCTAGTTTAGCACGGCTAGGCAATATTACTTTGTATCATGAGTAAAGATGCTAATCTAGAGTGGTTGCAAGGGTACAATATCAATCTACGAAGATAACATGTTCTATGCTTTTAGATTCACGATATTCATCAAAAAGACAGGGGCATGTGTTTACGCCCAAATTTGGCACATAGGATCGAAATAGGGAAAATTACCAAGATTTGGGACATCTGCTTTTGATAGTCATATTTCATCCGTCCCTCTAAGTCCTACTCCCTCCATCTACTTTTGATAGTCATATTTCATCTTGGCACACAGACCAAGGATAAGTAATTTTACTTATCATCTATTTAAACATGCTACTCCCTCCATCTACTTTTGATAGTCATATTTTATCTTGACACACAGACCAAGGATAAGTGATTCTACTTATCGTCTATTTAAACATGCTACTCCCTCCGGTTCTATATTAATTGACGTTTTGAACAAGGTTGAGATTAAACTTTTATAACTTTGACCATCAATAACTTTAAAAATATTTAGTTTAAAGAAACTAGAACAACATATATAAATTTGTCTTTCAAATTACTATAATAAAAGTAAACATGCATTTATTTATTGTATATATTATAATAAAAAATGAGATCAAAGATATATCTTGTAGACCGTGTCACTGTCCAAAACGTCAATTAAAATAAAACTGGAGGGAGTACTAGTCATTCCTCGTAAACAAGCGATTCATTAATATTTACATTTCACGATGCCCATGTAGCCAATCTTGTGTGGAAGAATGGAAAGTCACGCATTAAATCTAAGAAATTCATTAAGATGATAAGTTGTTGGATTGAAATATGCCTATCAAAAATAAATTTTTCAAATTTGGAAATATGACTATCAAAAGTAGATGGAGGGAGTACTAGTTATTCATCATAAACGAGCGATTCATTAATATTTACATTTCTCAATACCCATATAACCAATCCTGTATGGAAGAATGGAGAGTTACGCATTAGGGTTTAGGAAGGAAAGCCATTAAGATTATAGGTTGTTGGATTGAAATATGCCTATCAAAAATAAATTTTTTAAATTTGGAAATATACCTTTTGATAGAAGACAGTATCACAGAGAGAGGAAAAAAACTGAACAGTTACGAGGTACTCCCCATCTGTACATTAATTTGCATGTCCAGGAAAAGATGGACAAGTTTAATTACACACCCATATACCTCTTCACGAAACAAACCACTGACGGATATGTGTGCACAATTATCGTCACATAAGGACAAAAGGAATCTACATTATCTACCTCTCCGGCTCTCCCTCTCATACAATTTTGCATAGGACTAACTAATGATACAAATGGGATTTCCTTCAATTCTGGCCTGCGTGAGCGCGCATGCGTCATCCTAGCTGCATGTACGTAGACATCCAACAATCGATTGATCATTTGCAGATATCGCATTCGACAACATCGTCCTGCATATGTAAGTTGTTTTGTATTATTAACAATTGAAGAGCCACGTGTTCACTCTGGAGATTTAAAATATTACTAAGTGAGTAGGAGAAAAGGAGAAATTAATGTATATTTACTGTGTTTAATCATGCATGGTGGGTTTAGATTAAAATACAATTGTATTTATAAAAAGAATAAATGGAATGATATGGTTGTATACATGGATATATAAGACATATATGTATACAGTTATATAAACGTAAACAACATTTAAATTTAGCTCCACGTACTTAAAAATGAGTGGAAAAATATGATAATAGTTGCATATCCTATCTTACTATAAAAGTTGATGCTAAATAACTTTTAAAACTTAACATGCAAGTGTGTCACATCATCACCTTTACTAGCAATTATTATCTAGAGTATTTTAAATCACATACAAGTTTGACACATCATCATTTACTAGCAATTATTATCTAGAGTATTTTAAATTACATGCAATTGCGCCACATCATCACCCACTAGCAATTATTATCTAGAATATTTTAAATATCATGCAAACATAATATATCAGTTACAGTTGTATTTTTAGAGCTCAATATGCGAGTGATATCAAATTGTTATCTTCACATTATTCTCATATACACACACTATTTCTATAACGTATAAAATGTATTAATTCATATAACCTGCAGTAAAACACTGTGTATCAACCAGTACAAGAGGCGTGTCTGTTTTACCTCGTCTTTATCGTGTCCCTCCAGACGGCGCTTGGTCTTGCATGGACATGAATAGGGCGCCAACCTAGAAACGTGGAGCATATGCCGCAGCCTTGCCTGCACATGGTTGTAGATGCTGCGCGCGCAGGCAGGAGTGCCCCGCGCATAGTGTATTCAGTAAATTATTATACTAAGAGCATGTAACTATTAGCCAGGTACCAACATATTTTAATAAGATAAAAGATAAGAGAGAATAGCAGCGGGCTACAGATCTATAGCCAGCTACAGCAAAGACTCCAAGATGCAATATGTGTATGACAGGTAGGACCATATACTAATAGTATAGTAAGCAATTATTATATGAATTAGCTATTAGATTGGCTATTAGATGAATTGGAGCTAGTAGTGGGCTATACTATTAAACTTGCTCTAATAACTAGTAGTTGTACAGTACACGAGAGCAATTTGTGGACCCTAATTAATTAGGGAATGTCTATAGATCATTTGACAGAAAACCCCCTCACAAATCTTGTAAATTTTTGACCACCCGATTGCTTTAAGATTCGTGCAGGCAACAAAACCTTAAAAATCCTCTCTCCTCTCCCGATTCCTCACACGCCGCCGCTCCTCAGCGCTTCCCACCCGCCTCCGCCACTGTCGCCGCTGCCCCAGCGCACCACCGCCCGACCTCGCCGGCCGGCCAAAAGGTGTCAACGGCGCCGGCTAGGCCCCCCCGACCGGCCCCCTTCCCCTCCCCCTCCCTCTCCTCTCCTTTGCCTCAAGCCGGCGGTGGCGAGCTGTCCGTCGTCTTCCCTGTTGCCGGCGGCGGGGCGCCACCACCGGCCGCTTCCTCCTACCACTTTTCCCGCTTTGCCCCCGCCGCCTACACCGGCCCGTCGCCGTCCTCCAGCCCCGCGGCTTCGGCGCCGCCGCCGCCGCCGCCTCGCCGCCCGCTCGATCCACCGCCCACCGCCGGGTTGCCGCCTCCCACGGCCATCCCTCTAAAGCCGGCGAACTCCCCCCCTCCTCTTCCCTATTCCCCCCCCCACCCCCACCCCCACCCCCACCCCACCCCGGGACCTAATTCGTCGGCCCTCTACCAGAGTTTGGGTTCGCTGGCATTGGAGAAGAAGAGGTGGTCGCCGGAGTTGGAGAAGAGCACGAATCGTGAAGCACATCCAGTGATCCAAAATTTGCAAGATTTGAGGTATGATTTTCTATCGACATAGCTTTAGCAATTCCGAATTAATTAAGCTTGTAGTAGGGTTACCTGAGCCTATGCCTGTTGCAAGATGCAAAGAAGAGCAGTATACCATTCAGTATGCTCCTGATTGCCCGGAAGATCTATTAATTATACATATAAATGGGTGTATATTATACACAGAGGGATATTGTATGAATCGATATAGTACTAGTTAGCTAGGAGTATAGTGTATATGTATATATAGTAGTGTACCTGGGAGAAGAGATCGTTCCAGAGAGACTTGAGCAAGGAGACGTCGAAGGCGCTGTGCTGCGCCTCGGCCATGTGGTTGAGCTCGAACATGCTGCTCACCGTCTCCCAGATGTCCTTGCCGAAGTTGTAGGTGTTGGAGAGCAGCGAGCCCGCGCAGGAAGCAAGAGAGGCCGCGAAACGCAGCGGAAGGAGCAGCGCCTGGACCAGCGGGTTGAGGCAGTCCAGGACGGCGTCCAAGGGCGCCCACAGCGCCTCCGCCAGGTCGCCCAGCAGCTCGCATACCTCGCCGCAGGCGGCCAGGAGGGGCCCCGCGATGGCCGACAGCGGAGCCGACAGCGGACGGAGCACCGCCCTGGCCATGCGCAGCAGGGCCACCATCCCCTGCAGGCACTTGCGCAGGTGGTTCCGGAGGAAGAGGATGGTGCCCAGGTACTGGATCCGGGTGACCATGTCCCACGTCTCGATCCAGCCGAAGAGCGGCCCACACACGCGCGCCGCCGCGGCCTTGAGCAGCGGCACGTTCTTGTACAGGTCGTAGAAGCCGATGATGACGGTGGCCAGGGAGACCAGCAGGTAGAGCGTCCGCGCCAGGGGCCTCATCCACGGCCTGTATAGCAGGCACAGCAGCGGGTACGACTGCAGGAAGATGACCCACGACGGCAGGCCAGACTCCAGCAGCGTCAGCAGCCGGATGTCCGACATGATGATCTGCCTCAGCTTCATCGGCAGCGCGCTGTCCCTGGACCGGAGCAGGATCAGCGTGTCGGTGTAGGAAGAAGACGAAGAAGGCGCCTGATCATCCTCATCATCGGCGTCCTCCTTCTTCTTGTCCGACTCCGACGACGACGAACGTCGGATCTGTTGATGAATCAGCCGCCGCATATTACTAGTACTAGTATTAATATTATTGTTGTCCTTGTCGTCGTTATCAACGACGTTGTCTTGGGACAGGGAGTAGAGGGTGGTGAGGTAGCCGCGCAGCGCCTCAGCCTCGGGGGCGCGGCCAAGGAACCAGAGCTTGGTGCAGCCGGCCGCCTGCTCCGCGCTGTAGAACTCCCATTTCTTCATGTACCTCGCCTCCAGCGCCAACGACGTGTCCGTCAGCAGCTCGTTCAGGTAGTTGATGCCGTGCACGTCTCTCCACGACACCTCGAACACTAGGAACCCATGCAGCGCCAGCCTCAGGTCCACCACCTCGAACCACCGCCGCGCCGCCATGCTGCACTCGCCGTCGGCTGCTGCTGCGGCGGCGGCGGTGGCGCTCGAGGTGTTCCGGCCGGAGCAAGGGAGCGCCCTCGAGTTTGCGAATGGAGACATCCTGTACTGCAATTAGAGAGAGAAGCTAGCTCGTGACCATAAGCTAGGCAGGAATTAATTGAAGGTAGTACTAGCTAGTATACCTTGGTCACCATGAACTGCCAGAGTCTTGCCGATCGAGATTGCTTGCTCGACCGCCATGGCTGGTTATCCACCAGAATGAACACCTTCTTGCTGAGAGGTGCAAAATACAGGAACGCCCGTGACACGTAAGATTGCATGTCCCTGCAGACAACATAATTATAATCGATGTAAATCATCATCATCATGGCATTCATGTCGATCGATTAATATATCTACTTAATTAGTTACCCGATTTGCAACCCTGTCAATGGATAGATATCTGGCAAGGCCTCCATGTGTGCAAGATGTATGTATGCCGTCTGCCTACTACTAAGGTTGATCGATCTGCAAATAAATAAAGAGAGATTGATCGACCAACTCTGAAGAACTTTTGGGTAACTTTAGCTAGCTAGCTAGTTCATGAATGACCGGAAATAAATACTCTATATAATGAAGGAACGGAATTAACAGTACATAGCGCCATGCATGAGCCGATATATCGACGATGACTTATTAGCTTAGAATTTAAATCCGGGGATTGAAAGATGATCAAATCAAAGCCGGAGGAGTAACAAATATACCGAGACGAGACGTACGCGACGTCGTGCGGAAGCAAATTGATAAAGAGATGATGGAGGCCGGACGATTGCAAGGTGGTAGTTCTTGCTCTTATCAATCGCTGCTTCGTTTTCCTTTCAGCCGGACGGCCGGTGGCAAGAGCAAGAGCAGGAGCAGGACAGGAGGCCGATTGCATGTTGATGTTGGCAGGTCGATCGATCGAGAGGTGAGCGAATGGCCGTTCTTTCCTTTGTTTCCAAATTAAACCTCCATTATTGGCAACTACCATTAATAGCTGTTACTGATCTCGGCCACTAATTCATTTTTATATCCAACTGAGGGCGCACTCCATCGCAATTCGACTGGCCATTCCCAACCCAATAACGGGGATGGTGTCCATAGCATTAAATAAAAACGATGAAAATTGATGTAACAAGTAAATAAATGAGGAAAGAGAAGGAAACTAGGTCTTACATGAGACATGCTTTCTACACAACATTCAAGATATCGTGTGAGATAAGTAGCATTAAATTTAAGTATGGAAAAGTGGTGTTTGTATTGAAAGAGTAGTGTCTAGTACTAAGTTCTTGATGGTGTAGAGTTTTATATTATGTCTTATATTATGGTTGTGTCTTATATTATGGAATGGAGGGAATAGTACATAATCGATTTTTGCGGACAAGGCCCCAATAGGTTGCAGGTGGGCTGTAACCTATCCCTCGTGCAAAAATCGCCAAAGTGTTGGATTGTTCATTCACCAATAAGTAATGTGAGCTGGGTTTCATTTTTGTACTTTGTAGAGGTCTCATAAACCACCATGACCTTGCTGCTTCACGGATTGTTAGTCGCCTTTCCTCTCAATCTTTATTGGGATTCTAAATATCAAACCTAAATGTCATCGTAAGAGAGGTTTATTCATAGTTTTTATTGTTTCATCAACCGCTATCACACTACTTGCTAGCTCGTTACCCTATCCCTCTTTTAGCATTTACCATCATTGCGTTCTATATTACATTATTTCCCTTGAACTCTCATTTTTTATATAATTTTGAAATTTATCTTACTTTTATTTCAAATTTTAATCAATGTCATGTTGTGTTCTGCGTGCATGTTTTTTTAACATAATTGTCATTGCAAACGCCAACGCTCCCTCCTTTCCCGCGTGCGCCGCCGCCCCCTGCCTCCGTGCGCCGCTGCCGCTCCCTGCCTCCGCGTGTCGTCGTCGCCCAGCTGCAGCTCAGTAGGCGACGAGGTGAGGATGGGGATAGGGTTGATTTGTAATAGGGGTATTTTGGTCACTTCGTGCTAGCAATTTTTTTTCTTTTTCCTAAATGAAGTGCTAACGGTGAAGTGAAAAAACGAGGTCAAATGAGTAAGGTTAGGGTTAAATTAGTAGCTAGGCTTGGGCAAATTTGTAATTGCAATTAACCCCACGTCAGCGATCCGCCTCTAAACCATCACCCCCGATCCGGTCGATCGATCCCCCATCCCCACTGAAAAAGAAAAGAAAAAAAAAGAGGAAAAGCAGCGAGCGAGAGACCGGGGGACGGAAATGGTCGTCGCCGTCGCCTCACCTTCGTCGGCGCCGGGGCCGGGCGCCGCCGGCCGCCCCCACCCGACCTACAAGGAGGCAAGATTCTCTCTCAGATACTCCCCCCCATCCCAAAATTATACTAGTATTTTTGTCGGTTGAATCGAGCATATGCATCTGGATGCTTCTTACTTCTCACTTGCTCCAGATCTCCTTGATTTGGTGCAGATGATCCTGCGGGCGCTCAAGGAGCTTCCAGATCCGATCATCTCCAGCCGCCGTGCCATCGCCAAGTACATCTCCGACAACTTCTCCGGCCTCCCTTCTCACCACGACGCGCTCCTCACCGTTCACCTCCGCCGCCTCAGGTCACAGGGCCTTCTCCTCATGTCTGGACACTCGTACCTTCTCTCCACCTCCGCCACCGCCGCTCGAGGACGGGGACGAGGACGACCGCCCAAGAAAGCTTCCTCCTCCGCGCCGCCTCAAAAGCGCGGACCCGGCCGACCCCGCAAGAATACAGCCCTGTTTCCGGTTCCTGTGCTTGAGGCGAAGCCTGGGCGCGGGCGACCCCGGAAGAACCCTCTCCCTGTGGCTTCCTCCACCTCCTCTGCTGCTGCTGCTGCTACGGCGTTGAGCCTGAGAGTGAAGCGGGGACCTGGGAGGCCGCGCAAGAATGCTGCTGCTACCCCGTTGAGACTGGGAGTGAAGCGGGGACCTGGGAGGCCGCGCAAGAATGCTGCTGCTACCCCGTTGAGACTGGGAGCGAAGCGGGGACCTGGGAGACCGCGCAAGAATGCCACTGCTACGCCGTTGAGCCTGGGAGTTAAGCGGGGACCTGGGAGGCCGCGCAAGAATGCTGCTGCTGCTGCCTCTCCCGTTGCTCCGCCGCCTGCATCTCCACTGAAGCGGGGTGTTGGACGCCCAAGGAAGAACGCCACTCCTCTAGTCAAGCCTGGACCTGGGAGGCCGTCTGGATTCAAACGTGGACCAGGCCGCCCTCGCAAGAATGCCACTCCTCCTGTGCTGTCAGTGCCACCCACTGCTGCTGCTGTGTTGGGAGTGAAGCGTGGCCGTGGGCGCCCTAGAAAGGATAAACCATTGCAATCTTGGTCTGTGCTCTCTGGCGGTGCTGCAATGACTAAGAGAGGGCCTGGGAGGCCAAGAAAGAAGAGGCCACTGGAAGCTGGAGGTGTTGTGGCAGCACAGGTAGACACTGCAGATGGAGGTGAGGCTGGAGCCGTTCAAAATGGAGGTGAAGTTAGGTGTCTGCTCTCTGATGGTGCTTCTTCAATGGGGAACAGAGGGCCTGGGAGTCCTAGGAAGGAGGTGCTATTGGAAAATGAACCTACAGTTTCTACATTGGTGGGAAAGAGAGGCCGTGGCCGTCCAAAAAAGGAGAAACCATCAGCAGCAAGGCCTGCTGAAACTGGAGATGCTAAATCAATGGGGATCAAGAGAGGTCGCGGAAGACCAAGAAAGGACAGTTCCTTTCAAGCTGTGTTTGCAGAAGCTGCAGGTCAGGTGTCAAGAGATGTCACAGCAGCTCAGCCCGAAGGAGATGCAGATTTACTGGCAAGGAAGGAACCAGAGACTGCAGCTGTAGTTTCGGTGGAGAACAAAGAAACTAGGCCTGCAGATGCTGGGGGTGTTGTGGTTTCTGAAGAGAAGACATCGATTGATCCGGTGGAGGCTGGAAGTGTAATGCCATGTGTTAATGCAGAAGTTGATCGCATGAACTCTGACCTGCGCACTGCTAATCCATAGTGTGGCTGGCGTCAGCACTCAGCACAGAAGGGAGGACCTGGATGGCTGGCACTACCTGCAGGTGTGAATGTGTATTCACTGATTTAGCTGGAGACATACTGTGAAAACTGTTAAATGTTGCAACCAAAATTATTACTGTCATGCTGTTAAGTAGTTTCTCAAGATCAACATTGGAGTATGCTTTTAATGATATCCACTTCTCGGATAAATTTTTATAATAGTCCTTAGGTAGCACATATAGTTCCTTTAGGAATGACTGGATATATCATATATGTTGCTTTTAGTGCACCCAGTGGTGATGAGATGCATCAATGTTTACTTCCAATTTGAACATCCATTAGTGTTTCATTCAATCAATATCTCTGTTTTTTCCATGCCTATATCTTAAGTAATTTTGGTGAATTTCCTTTCTTATTAATTATTAATAGTAAGGTTAATCTAGCAAGTATTTTTCTATTCATTGTTGTATTGTGCAAATTCAGCCTAGAATGTGCTCTTATGATATGAAGTTTTACTGCCACAGCTTGTTTGTTTATGGTTATTAGTATTTGTGGGGTTTAAATAATTCCAGATATCTTTTGTGACATAGTATAGGTTGTGGGGGGAGAATTGTTGGTCCATGACCATGAGGTCTGGTGCTCTTGTCATTTTACTGTGAGGATTACCCTAGATACCCTAATCATGCTCAATCTGCATGTTTCTCTCAATTTGCATAGAAAATGGTTGGCCCTATTGTGTTGCTGAGTTAATTTATACCGCTTGTAGGCCGAGCAACTTAGCAAGGAATTTAATCAAAATCTTTGTTTCTCTCATATCTTCCCATATCCTATATGAGGTCCTGCATGAATATTTGTTCTGTTCATATGAGTTTTGGCTGACAAGTCATACTATACTACTGCACACTAGCTGTTCTCACGTGGCCTGCTTTGGTTCTGCATAATACAATTATGTGTTTATGAACCGCCTTCAATCAAGCTCAGTTGGTGGGAGGTGTAGATGCATGGGTTTGAGTCCTCTTGAACACAAGTGCCCCTTCTTCCTAATAATGATACTGTAATGAATAGGGTTTATGGAGTTGAATTTGCAGCAAAATTCAGTTTATAGAGAAGGTTTTGTTTTGTTTTGAACAGTTTATAGAGAAGTTCCATTCATCATTTGTTCAGTGCATTTAATGGTTCCTTTTTTGTGTACTTTTTTTGTACATTCTTGATTCCTTGTTATTGTGCAATATTTTTTTTGTTGTTAAGAAATTGTTACAGTGTAAGGATATGTAAGGGCCTTATCTTTTCAATTATGCTTATGCTTATCAGCCAAAATTTGAATTTTCAACCTTAAATTTGGAGTTGATTTTGAGGTTTTTTCATCAAAATTTATTTTTCAGCCTTTGCTTTTAGATCGATAAGAACACGCATATAAAAGTTTTATTCACAAATTCCTCTTCGTTTGTAAATATGCCGTTTCGCTTATTCTATTCCGTGAATAAGTGAAACGATGGTTCGCTTATTCTATTCCGCAAATAAGGCGAATAAGCGAAACGATGGTTCAGTAAGATTGGTTTGCTTGGCTCTCTGATTGCTATGGTGAGAAGTTGGTATGAAAACCATAACTTTGAGTACCAAACAAATCCCTTTTTTTTGTCTTGGTCCATTATCACTGGCATTACCATTTGTGCACAGTACAATCTCCAACCAAATATTATCACTGAAATGAATGTTTTTTAGATGAATGTTCTGGGTTGTGATATTGATATAGATGAGTTATCTCACTTTACACACAAGGGCGGGCAGAGCACAAAGTAAAATGATGATTACAGAGGTTGGTTAGCAGACAATCTTTCATTTCATTTGTTATGGATGGCTTGATTTTCCCTGAAGAATGATAACAGCCTCAGGAGGTGGAAGGAACAGCTAGGTTTGAGTGTGGGAAAAAAACATTGAATGCGATTAGTAGTACCTGCTAAAGGTTTTCTACTTTCAGGCAGATGAAGTAAGGGTTTAGGGTTTAGGGTTAAATCAGCTGAGAATTATTTTTTTTAACAAACAAGATACAATTGTGTTCTCTGTTCTAGTTTAGGGTATATATATAAACTGAATGATGGCAACCTCGCAAGAATTATTTCCAGATAATTAGACTGATGCATTGTTCCCTGCGTGCCTTGAGAGGTCAGCATGTTGAACTAGTTGTACTATACTACTACCTGCTGCTTGTGACAACATTCTTGTTTAGGGGGTAAGTTTTGGCTTGTCACACTGGGTATTGTATAGGATGTCGCATGGAATGTTTGGGCACTAATAAAAAAACTAATTATAGAATCTGTTAGTAAACCGCAATGAATTTATTAAGCCTAATTAATCCGTTATTAGCACATGTTTATTGGAGCACCATATTGTCAAATCATGGAGCAAGTGCTTCATTGTTGAATCATGGAGCAATTAGGTCTAAAAGATTCAGTCTTGTAAATTAGTCGCAATCGTGCAATTAGTTGTTTTTTAGCCTATATTTAATACTTCATGCAGATGTTCAAACGTTCGATATGACAAGGTGTAAAATTCTAGGAGGGATCTAAACAGGCCTTAGGCTGTGTTTGGAACCATGGGTTCCCAACACGCACAGTGCGCATAAAAAACGGAGTGGTCCATTAGCACATGATTAATTAAGTATTAGCTATATTTTTTTTCAAAAATGTATCGATATGATTTTTTAAAGCAACTTTCGTATAGAAACTTTTTTTAAAAAAAACGCACCGTTTATCAGTTTGAAAAGCGTGTGTGTAGAAAAAGAGGCGGAGGAACACGAAATTAGCTTTTTTATTCGTGTCCGAAAACCCATTCCGACGTCCAGTGAAACATCCGATAGTAACTTAGCTTCAATGCTTCTTCTTTCCTTTCCTGTACTAGAATAGTTCTTGTGTTGACTGGAAAGTTGGCTTGTGTTTGCTTCTCATGTATGAACAAGTACGTGTATTCTAATTGTCGTGTAGTAGTATATGAGCCAAAAATTTGATAGGATTTCTTATATAGTTACCAAAATTTGGTAGCAAACTAAATGTAGCCACTTTTTTTATATCTTTATTAAAATTTGGTAAGGTTGAAAATGGTATCAAAGTGAACATGCCCGAAAAGAAAAGAGTAAATGAAAGAAAAGAGTGAATGGACGGCCCAGCAGCATAGTCAGCCCAAGCCCAATGCGTACCAACCAACGGCTGTGATGACGTGAAGCGCCGAGCGCGGCATCGGACGGCCAGGGCTCGCCCGGTGCCCTTTTAAAACCCGTATCACTTCTCTCGCATTCCCAATCCCCTCACAGCCTTAAACCCTAGCTCCGCCTCCCACCTCCCTTTTCTTTTCTAGGGTTCTTCCGCCGCCGCCGCCGCCGCCGCCGATTCCGATGGAGTTCTGGGGTAATCTCCTCCTCTACCTCTCTCTCTTCCCCTCCCTCTCTCCATCCATCTATATTGCGCAGTTTCGGTTTTTGTTTGATTTGATTTGGACGCGATTCGTTTGATACGGTGTTTGGTTCGTGCGCTTCTCTTCGTTACGGATTAGACGCGATTCGTTTCACCATCGAGTGTTTTGGGTTCGCGCGGAATCGCGGCCATGGCTCTTCCCTGTCTTCGTTAGGGATTAATTAGGGATTTTAGTTTTCATGGGCCGCGACTATTTCCATCATACATGCGTAACCGCATTGGTTGCCGCCTTTATGTTTGCGAGAATCATCATTTTGTTCATTCTGTTTCTGTTTCAGTTAACACATTCTGATTATCTTCAGTCTCATAGTTGTTATCATATATTACTACAGTACTTACCTTGCTTCGGCCCCATCGTTTGGCATATTTACGAACGAAAAATAATTTGTGAATAAAACTTAGCGATCTAAAAGAAAAGGCTGAAAAATAAACTTCTGAAAACCTCCAAAATCAACTCCAAATTTAAGATTGAAAATTCAAATTTTGGCTGATAAGCATAAGCGGAAAGATAAGGTCGCTTGTTTCTATGGGCCATCCTCGTTAATTTACTATGCTAGTTGCTTTTCAACTTTACTAGCTAAAGGCAAATATGAACTGTAGTATACTGTTTCATTCATGCCTTCTTGGAAGGGAAGGACTACTCTATACATGTGTTTTTCGCTGATTAGTCAAAGTTGTGCAGGTCTTGAAGTCAAGCCTGGACAGACTGTCAAATGTGAGCCTGAAGATGAACGCTTTTTGCACCTTTCTCAGGTTTATTATGTTCCTCTTCTGTCCTCCTTTTTTTGAACAGTGAGGCTTTTGTGTTCTCATTGTGTACTTAATCTTTTGTTATTCAACAATTGCTTGGTAGGCTGCTCTTGGGGAATCAAAGAAAGGATCTGACAATGCAGTAATGTATGTTAAAACTGATGATCAAAAGCTAGTCATTGGAACCCTCTCAGCTGACAAGTTCCCTCAAATCCAGTTTGATTTGGTCTTTGACAAAGAGTTTGAGCTGTCACACACTTCAAAGACTGCTAGTGTGTTCTTTTCTGGCTACAAAGTTTCCCAGCCGGCTGAGGAAGATGAATATCCTTTGTAATGTTTTACCATGTTTGGTCAATATATGTAATGCATATAATGTCATACTCTATTTTATTTTCATTAAGGTATGTATTACAATATTGTTTTCCTTGACCTGCCTTTTTTGTTGTTCCACAATGGATTTTGATTCTGAAGAAGTTGAAGGTATGATTGCTACTAGTGCTTGTGTTCTGCCTAGAGAGAATTTAACGAGCCTGTTTATAATTTATTTCAGATGAAGAGGAGGAAGAAAAGATCATTCCAGCTCCCAGGGCAAATGGTACCATAGTTTCTCCTTTCTGATTATGATTGGAATCACAGAATCCTTTTGCACCTCTCTTTAAAACTTTATAAGGAAGTACTTATGACTAAAACTTTTCTAAGGCAAAGTTGAAGGGAAGGAAAATGAGCAGAAAAAACAAGGCAAGACAGATTCTTCAGCTTCAAAATCAAAGGCTGCAGTGAATGACGATGATGATGATGATGACAGTGATGAGGATGATTCTGAGGACGAAGATCTTTCTCCTGAGGATGATGATGATGTGAGTAATTTATGGGTACTGTTGTGTATTATTGTGGAGGATTGTTCCATACTAACAGTGGTGCAATGGCCTGTTATAGGATTCTTCTGAGGATGATTCCAGCGAAGATGATGAGGATGAGAGTGACGAGGAAGATACTCCCAAGAAGGTATGTGTATGTGTTTGAAGGATATAGTCTGCTTGTTTCTGTGCACTTATATGTGTTTGAAGGATACAGTTAGTTTGTTTGTTCTGTACTCTTACCATAAACAATGTGATGACTTGCAGCCAGAGACTGGAAAGAGGAAAGTAGCTGAAATTGTGTTGAAGACACCTTCGTCTGATAAGAAAGCAAAGATTGCTACACCGTCAGGCCAGAAGACAGGTTAGTAGCTGTGAAGCTGCGCCTGCGATGAATAAATTGGCACTGGAAGTAGTGATGAATTTGTATCATTTGGTCCTCCTGAGCAGGTGACAAGAAGGGTGTCCATGTAGCAACTCCACATCCGGCAAAGCAGGCTAGCAAGACCCCCGTGAATGACAAGTCAAAGGAGAAGTCCCCAAAATCCGGTGGTGGGTCAATTTCTTGCAAGTCATGCAGCAAGTAAGTTTAGATGCGCTGTCTTCTTGTTTTGGAGTATTACGTAAGGAAATGATTCAAAGTTTGCATGAATGCATTGTTTAGGACGTTCAACAGTGAAATGGCTCTGCAATCTCACTCGAAGGCCAAGCACCCCGCCAAGTGAAGAATGAGACAACGGATGCTGAGCTGAGAAATATTGGTGTCGTTTGAGTTGGTTATCTGAAATGAAATGAAATGCTGCAAACTATTTGGTGTTATGAGTAGTGTCGTGACGGTTTATGTGGTGCAAACTATTTAGTCTAGAAAAAAAAAATCTGTGGTGCGAACTGAGCTACAATTTTATTCGGTCAAGGTCAGTGGAGTGATTGGTTTATTTTGGATGGAATTATTGTTCTTCCCTGTTATTCGGTTAATTCCCACGAGAAAGGATTGATAACACCACACTGAATTGACTAGCTGAACAAAGTCGTAATATCTGGTTTTGCCCTCGGCCAAATCCGAATATTAGGGTGTGTTTAGTTCGTGTTTTTTGGGTGTTACATTGGATGTTGACCTTAGAAAGGATTTTTTTGATACGAATGAAAAAAATTAATTTCTAACTTGCTTGGAAACCGTGAGACGAATTTATTATGTCTAATTAAACTGTTATTAGCATTTATAGATTACTGTAGCACTTATAGTTAATTATGGACTAATTAGACTTAAAAGATTTGTCTCGTGATTTACATTTAAACTGTACAATTAGTTTTTTAATGTATATTTAATGCTCTATACTCTGCACATGTTACATGTGTTCAAATTTTTTATATGAGTAAGAACTAAATAAGGCCTTAGTGAGCATTTTAGTAGCGGCTGAGCGCTTGATCGTTTGCTGTCTGCAGCCGCAAGGCCCGCAACTACAGGAAGTTTTCTCCGCCAAAAGGCAGCGACAATGCACCAGCCTTAATATCAGACAAACAGCCTCTACCCAACAATTCGGCTCCTAGTTGGAACTCTTTGTTCACCAACACGAGATGGCACTGCAGCTAGGCAGTAGACACGAGAGTCATTCCAGTTTGTTCGCATTTGTCCCTGCCCATCCTTTTCTATTTTTCGCCTACAATATAACCATAAGTATATCATCATTGAATATGGAATATTTCTTCTCCTTTCTAAAATATATAACTTTTAGCCTTCACAACCAATCACAACTTTCCACCTCTTAATATCTATGCCTTCTCCTTAACCAATCACAACCATCACATATCTAATTTTACCTACTTTTTTAATACTCGTGTTCAACCAAAACTCAGGTTGTAATAAAATTTTGAAGTTACAACAACGAGAGTAACAACAGCATTTGCAGTTTTACTTAATAATTAGTCAACAGCATTTGTGTAACGAGTTGTGTCGCATGCTTTATTCACAGTTTTTTTTTAAAATTCAAGTTCTTTGACTTACACTCACCCGACCCAAAATAAATCAACTTTTATATATCTATGTCATCCTTTTTAAAGTGTTAGTTTTGAACATAGTACCCTGTAAAAAAAATAAATCAATTTTTATACACGGATTTGAATATAGCCTATGTCTAGATTTGTTTTTTGAAAATTACTTATTTTGAGATAGTGGGATTAGGTACTAGAGAAATTACATTGTAAACTTGAAAACTTAGTCTAAGTATATGCAAATTCAAATGTAACATATATATATATATATGTAACAAATTCAAATTACATTGTAAACTTGAAAACTTAGTCTATAGTGTTATTAGATGTTAAAAATTTTAAGTGTTTTAAATGGAAAATGAGACATCATAAATAATTGAATATAAATACACATAGTCTTTTAGAGAATGGAGAGAAGAATCGTAGAATCACGCATCTAATTTTTAATTAATTAGGATCATAAAGTCGGAAAATTGTATAGCAAAATCGAGATTTGTACAACCTCGATTACTAGCCTTACCAATTTTCATGCCAATGGCTAAATTTTGTAGGCCGTTTGTTTGGACTTTTGCAAATAATGGGTGGGCTTTAATTTGCATTACTAAATATATCCATAATTTTTTTACAAATGAAATAGGTGAAAGATTTTCATGGCATAGCTAATTATTTTGTCATGGTTTTAATTTGGGTTGTGGTAGTACTTCTCGAACCGTTTTCTCAGGGTGTGTGTTTAGTTCACGCCAAAAATAGAAGTTTAGTTGAAATTGAAACGATGTGACGGAAAAGTTGAAAGTTTGTATGTAGAAAAGTTTCGATGTGATGGAAAAAGTTGGAAGTTTAAAGAAATAGCTTGGAACTAAACACGACGTCAGTAAGCTCTCCTCTGTCTCAAACCATCATGATGCTCTGAGAGACTGAGAGGCTACCCCAAAGGAGACCGGCTTTTCCTCTCGCGAGACCCCTTTCCCTTCTGTCTTCGGTCGGTGGCCGACAGCTGTCCACGAGGGGCCGGGAGTGGGGGTCCAGAGAGTGGTAGGGTCTATCCCATAGTCGGGTTCATCCCGTTGTTGTTTCCTCCCCCTTTCTTGTATAGATTGAAGAATATGTCTTCCTCATCCGGGCAACCGCGAATTATCTGCCAAACAGTTGTAGGGTTAAGCTTCGACGCCTATAGCTGCTGAAAGGCGTACTCCAATCGAATTTTCTCCGGCGAGGTTCCTGCTATTCCTCTAGTGCTTCTTCATGTCTCCGGCGACAGAGCTCCAAGGTTTGGCTGAACTTTCTTTTGCTTGGCTTGCTTGTTGGCCGGGTTCGTGGCTTGGCATCCTGCAGCACCCACTGTACCCATCGCTAGAAGCATGGAGAACACCGGTTCGGTTTGGAGGAAGAAGAAGCAAGCTCAAGGACTGGATTGCTTTTTTGTTTTCTTTTGGTGTTCTTGTATACATATTGCACGAGTGATATTTTTTTAAGAAACACAGTACAAACGCAGGCGCTCACAACGTGCGCACACTCACTCCTATGAACGTACACACGCACCTATAAATAAAATGCACGAATAATTCTCAAAAAAATAAATTGGGATGTAAACCAAACACTTCCGTAGTGCACTCACTCTCCATTCACCTTACTCCTATAAGTCATTATTCAGTTGAGAAAGTAAAACTTAAAAAAAGTAGGGAATAAAAATTACACCAACATATTAATACTTGAAAGTACTTTTCACACAACATTATTTGTCTTAACACCAGTAACTATAAGAGAGTCGTACATAATTATAAGAAAGTAATATTAAAGGCTGCTAGTAATTAAAATGGAGTAGACGGAGCACTAATCGATCGATACATATATATACGATGTAGCTAGCTAGCTTAGGAGGAATATATATATATATATATATATATATATATATATATATATATATATATATATATATATATATATATAAAGCAATGGAACATGCATGATGAATCGTGCGAGGTGACGATACTATTATATATATAGAAAAAGCAAATTAAGGTAGGTAGGTAGCTAGGAATGGAGGTGATTATCGGGGTGGGCTGCAGGTGGCGGCATGAAGGACTGGTGGACCTCCATGGCAAGGTCGTCGACGCTGAGGTGGCAGTCGAGGCCGATCTTGAGGACGAAGGAGTAGAGGACGGTGTCGTCCATGGTGGTGATGTTGAGATGGAGCACCTCGAGATGGAGGCTCTCGAGAAGGGCGATGATCCTGACGGGAGGGGCGCGCCTAGAGAGCGTGCGAAGAAGCACGTTGGCGCCGGAGATCCTAGCCTCCACGTCGGCCATGGGGGAGTTGCAGCAGGCGGCGAGCTCTGCTACCAGCTGCAGCTGCTGCTTATTTTCGTCCTTGGGGGAGATGGAGGATGAGCTGCCGGCGCTGCTGCCGGCGGCGGCAGTGGGAGAGCAGGAGGTGATGAGGGAGCGCGGGCTGGGCGTGGGGCTGGGGCTGCCGCCGCCGGAGGCCGATATCGATGCCGGCGAGATTAGGTGCGCCTGCGGCTGCTGCCTGCGCTTCTTCTGGGCCTCCAGCGATTGCAGTAGCGTCTGTAGCTCCTTGATGAAGTCGATGGCGCCGCCGATGATCGACGCCTGGTCGCCCTGCATGCATGCACCATATTATTATATATTTGTTTATCATTTCCATTTCCATTTCCATTAGAAATATTAACAACGTGGAGTACGTACGTACGTACCCGTTTGATGTAGAATGCGGGCGTGAGCGAGCGGAGCACCTTGAGGTGGTCGTTCATCTGCCGCCGCCGGTTGCGCTCCACGGCGATGTGCGACATAACTTAATTAATTTACTTACGACCTTGTCGATGCGCTAGCTCCACGGACCACGGCTTGCTTGGCTTGGCTTGTCTTGGCTTGGCTAGGTTAGCACATATCGAATATGTATATATATGCCAATCTGCCATGCATATGGCATTAATTGTCACAACACAAAGTAGTAGTAGTAGTAGTAGTAGTAGTAGTAGTAGTAAGTTACGGCAGGTCTATCTGCGTGGATGCATGTATGGAGTGTGTGAGTGTAGAAGCTCACGTACGTACGTACGTGCGTGTGGGCCCACGTACGCACAAATAAACTTGTACACGGTCGCATACATGTATGCACGTACTATATATGTGACGAGATTTAATGGCAGCGCGCTGGGCCGGCAGCTAGCTCGATCATCATGTCCCCGTGACCGTGACCAAGCGCAAGCGCCCGCGCCCATGCACACTCAATGCCTCCATACCGGCAACTCTTTGGAACCTCAGCAAGTAATCTCACGTTACTCAACTCGTGCGCATGCTCGCCTTTTCTTTTTTCCTCCGCCACATTAATTCTGCTAGCTAGCTGATTCTTTTTTTTTATTTTTTTTATTTTTTTGAAGAAGAAGATGCTAGCTGATTCTTTTTAATTATTTTTATTTTTTTATTTTTTGAAGAAGAAGATGCTAGCTGATTCGTTGCGACAGAGGTAAATCAAGGAGGAGGCAACGAACAGCAGCTCGATCCATTGGAGTAATGCAACCCTGCTGATTTTTTACTCATGTCATTGTCTCCTCTTCTCTTCCGCTCCACTCCGGCTTGAACACCTGCCACAACTGGGCCGATCATCGTTTCTCCCCTTCGTTTTGTTCGCAACTGGGCCGAGCCACTAAGCTTCCGGGCCGATCCAAGGAAAACGGCGCTCCAGCTTTGGAAAAAGTACACCGAAGGTCCCTCAACTTGTCATCGAATTATAAAATCATCCTCCAACCGCAAAACCAGATATAGGACATCCCTCAACTTACAAAACTGTTCACTTTAGGTCCTTCGGTGGTTTTGATCCCGGTTTCGTCCGATGTGGCGGCTGAGTCAGCGTGGGACCCACGTGGGTCCCACATGTCAGGGTGTACAGTCAGCACCTCTCCCTTCCCCCTTCTCCCCCTTCCTCTTCTCTCTCTATTTCTCTCTCTCTCTCTTTTCCCCTCTGCAGGATGCTCGGCAGGTGGGGAGCTCGTCGAGGCGAGGTGGGAGAGGACATCCGGCTGGCTGGCGATGCGGCGGCGGCGGCGGCGTCGTCGACGATGCGGGAGATGGGAGAGCGTCACAGGCTCACCGCGCATGCGACCTCGAGGTCGGGCCATCAGAGAGGCCCGGGCGGTGGCGGCGAGGACGCCAAGGCGCGAGACTCCGGGTGGCGGCGGCGGCATACGACGCGCTGCGGGCGCCGGTTTGGGACCAATTAGAGGAGCAGAGAAGATTAGGGCCAGGCCGTCATCTCCCGACGACGGCGGCGAGGCAGAGAAAGGGCGGCGCGGTGAGGAGGGCTCGATGAAGAAGATGAGGAGCGTGGTGCTACGGGAGGCCATGGCGGGGCTCCCGGAGCACGGCGACAGCTGCGTGAGGTACAGCGACACGTGGCGGCGGGCAAGCGAGGGCGGCGAAGGCGAGCCCACAGCGGCGGTGGCTAAGGAAGCAGCGGAGACGCGGTTGAGGAGTGGACGGCGACGGGCGGGAGCAGGCCGACGGCGGCAAGGGAGTTGGGCGAGCGCGGTGGCGGAGAGGCAGAGGCAGCGGCAGCAGCAGGCGAGCGCGGCTGCGGATGAGGAGCGGTGGCGCCGACGACTCCGCGCCGCTCGGCCTCATCGTTGTCGGCGGCTTTGGGTGGGGGCGCCGCGCCGCCGGCTTCTTGTCGCTCGTCCGCGGTGGGGGCGCCGCGCCGCCGGCTTCTCGTCGCTTGCCATGGCGCTGGAACGGGGGAGGACGACTGGAGCGGTGGCTCGTTGGGGACGGCCTCACGGAAGAGCAACGGCTGGAAGGACAACGACGGCGGCGACAACGCATCGGCCGGCCAACTCCCTCCTCGCCGCCTCCATCCCCACTTCCCTCCCGCTGTCGCCGTCTCCGTCTTCCGCTCCTCCCTTGCCCCGGATGGGAGTTTCGTCGGAGCGGCGTCCTCCTCCTCCACCTCTCCACCGCCGTTCCCCTCCAGCCCCCCCTTCGCTCTGCCCCTGTGGTCCCGCCACCGACGCCCCTCCCCGCTCGCGTGCGCCGACCTCGTCGACCGGGGTGACTTCAACGGGGCACGCCGCGACGGGACACCGTGCTCGCCGCCGCCGACCTCATCGAGCGGGGTGACTTTGACGGGGACAAGAGAGGCCATGGCGACGCCCGACCGCGGCATGCTCCTCTGCACCGGCGACCGCGCCCGCCGCACCGTCCTGCCGTGCCTCCTTGGCTGCTCTTCGCCGGCCACCGCCCATGGAGAGGGAAGGAGAGAGGAAGTGAGTTGATGGGGAGGGTAAGAAGTGGTGACGTGGACAGTCTGACATGTGGGTCCCACGCGGGTCCCACGCTGACTCAGCCGCCACGTCGGATAATACCAGGGTCAAAACCACCGAAGGACCTAAATTGAACGATTTTGTAACTTGAGGGATGTCATATATCTGGTTTTGTGGTTGGGGGATGATTTTGTAACTCGATGACAAGTTGAGGGACCTTCGGTGCACTTTTTCCTCCAGCTTTCTACGTCCCAGTCCCTCTAACGTAGAATCCACTAACGTTGGATGATCTGGTTCCAAAAGCAGATAGGATAAATCTGAAGCTACTTACATTAAACAATAGTCACATTGCATACAATCACGGATTAAGGCTCTGTTCGTTCTGGGAAGATATGGGAGATTGATTCTCGTTTTCCGCGCGCATGCTTTTCAAACTACTAAACGGTGCGTTTTTTGTAAAAAATTTCTATAGGAAAGTTGCTTTAAAAAATCATATTAATCCATTTTTAAAATTTAAAATAGTTAATACTCAATTAATCATAAGCTAATGACTCACCTCGTTTTGCGTATCTCCCCAATCTCCTCAATCCCCTTCTCCTCAAACACACCCTAAGAGTTCATCCTAGAAAAAGAAATTAAGAGTCTAAAAAAAATCCAATTTGTCCATAAGTTTGAGAAAAGAAGCATGTTTTACTGCAAGGGAATTAATAACTTCATTACATGCGAATGGGAAAAAAATGCATTACCTTCAGATGCATTTCTATCACTCTAACAGCAAACAGGTCAATCAGGGGTGGATCAAAATCAGGTGCTAAAAAATATTTTCCTCATTAGATAATTGGTGTTTGTGTCCTCGTAAAAAAAAGGTGTTTGTGCTTGCAGTTTGCTTCTTCTAGTTTTGCATACATATAATCAGTTTGCTTGGTTGTTTTGTTGTCGTGCGTGGCAAACTGTTTGCCATGACTAGTGTAATCTACCCTATATTTCAGTTCAAAACTTCAAATGGATCGGAAAAGCTGCGCTTGCTGAGGCGGCTCAAAAATCTTTGCGTTCATCTATGTTTTTCACAGTATGTGTCATTTCGTCAAATACTCCACTGTTTATCAAATTGCAATGTATGTGCTCATGCATGTGGTTTTTCTAATATTACCAGCTCGCAGTTATTCAGAGAATGTATGGCAATACGGAAAGTACTACTTAGTTACTCTTTTGTACTTGGATTGTTTCTATAGGTTCCGTCCATTCAGTCCATGGGGTAGAAGCTGAAGATTTTTGGCACCTGGTATAGGTAACAGGTCTGAATATGGCGTAAAATAGATATCCATCTTCTTTTAAAGAAAAATGATCAGCTCTATCTTTAAAGCGCATGGTAGATAGAACCTTCAAGTTTTTATTAAGTCAGTAGTACAAAAGTATAAAAAGAAACATTGGCAGCATCAACACTTACAAATCCAATGCAAAGGAGACGGCCATTGTAGCAAGTGTGACAAATCAATGAATCATGAGGTGTAGATGTTATCAGGTTCTCCCATCAGGCATTTTTGAGGGAAATTCAACAGGCTTAGATCGCTTTCTCAGATAAGCAGCGTCTATCGTCATCTTTACAGTTGCATGTCATGTGTTGTCAGATGGTTGCTAGATGCTTATCCTTCTGATCCAATTTGATGATCTTGCAGACTCATAAACCCTTGGTAACAACCAACTTTAGAATCTCAACACCCTCTTCTATGGCTGAATCAATCTAGGTTAAAACAAAACATGCAAGCATTAGACTCTGCCCGTCACAACACACCTTCAGGGTCTTTACATCTAGAATAATAATGAAATTTGTAACACTGAAATAATTAAGTCAAATACGGTGTTTCCGGAAATATGGTATCACTAGAGTGATTCAATGACAAAAATTCGCCAAGAGTGTCACAGATAATGCCATAATAAGTCCTCCAAGTAACTTCACTCCAGCAGTTCGATTTCTAGGGCATCGTGGCATTTATCTAAAACAATTAAGATTAAAGAGATCTCAACGGCTGTGAGCTTCACGGAATTGGATTAGTACACCATATGGAAGTTGACCACAAGGTTAAGCCAATCTTCTAATCATACACATGTTGCAAGCCTATAACTCATCTCTCATTTGCGTATAGCACCGCAGAAATTACTAAGATTTTAAATGAAGTAGAATAAATCTAGGTGCGGCTTACATGCAGGATATAACCAGGGTTTTAGACTGTTGGTCATATGAATCTATCCCAGCAAATGAGCATGTTCATCGAGTGAGAATTATGGAAGTAATAATACAATGATTACTTCAAAAAACCTCAACTCAGAAAAAAAAAGGAATGACACGAAACTACAAGTATGCCTACTCCCTTCCATCCCCAAGAAAAAAAGGCAACCTAGTACTAGAATGTGACACATCCTAATACAACGAATCTGGACATAGAGTATGTACAGATTCGTTGTACTAGGATGTGTCACGTCGTAGTACGAGGTTGAGTTTTTTTTGGAATAGAGGGAGTAGATATTTACCCGTTCTAGACTGGTCTTATTAAACTTCTGGAGCACAAAAGCTTTGGGGTCCATTTGGCCAGGTGGACATCCAATTCCTGAATAAAAGTATGAATATCACATTAAGGAAAAAAAACTGAATGCCACAGATGTCAAACCTACCAATCCTTAATATTGACTAAATTCTCGGTTCTTATGAAAATGGTATATCATTCTCTTCGCCCTGATAAGCTAGAAAGGTAAATATTTTGTGTCAATTTAAAAATTAAAACACTTAGTTGCAGACGTAAAATAGTTTCACATAGCTAATGGTAAACTAAACATGTATAAAACAAGGGAGCATGCTACCCCACACTCAGATAAGAGTGTGCTTATGTCTGGTAAACTTTTCAACAGAACGTTGCCTCAGGCTATCTAAAGGGAGCAAAAAAGAACATGTGGGGAAAATGGAAAGGTGCATGAAGAAATTACCACTACAAATAAAAAAATGTAATTAAGTAAACAAATTGGAAAGGAAGAATATGCTGTCTCTTCTTAATGAAGTCAGCATCTTGCTTATCAGGTCACCTTTTGAATGACAAATTACTTCATTAAAACACATGGTTACAAAATCAACAGACCCATTATGGCGCCCGAATCCTCCTTTAGGTTGTAAACGAAGAATTCCACAGGGCAGGTCCGTGCCATCAAATGCCTGAAATTCACACCAGAAAAGTCAGATTGCTATGTAACTTAGCACTCATAAAGATTAGATATTACAATACTTACCACAAGGACACGATTAAGTGGTAGTTTATAATAGGCAGCAAGTGGCCCAACCTGCAATAGGCCAAAAAAGACTTATCACCAAGAGTCATCAGATCAGGGTCAGTATGGTATAACCATTTTTTTATGTCCAGTTAAAGGAATTTCTACAAGCTGAATTACACACGACCTATCAAAGAAATAAGACATAGAAGTAACCAAAACAAAACAGACATATTGAGATATCAAGTTCAAGTCATAGCAACTAAAATTCTGATTGTTGATAGGCTTTTGGTTGCCCCAACCAAAGTAAAGCTGCGGACATAATTGAATTTAGGGGGAAATGGCTCTTAGCAAATCGTTCTGATTCAGTTAGTAACATCAAAAACATTGATGTACTCCATTCTTTGACATTCCATAGCATCCAAATATGGTATATATTCTAAATTATCTCAAAATCAAGATAATAAGAAGTGCCAGGATTGCCCTGCAGTTATATCGACTTAAATTAGCTCAATTGGACTGAACCTTTTTGGTCACCCATAACCTACCCATTGCAGCCACATATTCATTCTCCAGGCTTGTGGCCAGGAAACTCTGATGAGTAATAGCACCACTTCCACTAGTAAATAAGCCTAATCCTCAAAAAGTTTAATGTATCATCCTAAATTGGTGGTACTCAAGAGACCCACCACCAATGACGACAACATCAGTGTTTCTGCTGAGGCAATCACAGTTTGACCTCAAACCATTCTGGCAGTTGCAGAGGATCATAGAGACCAACCTGGGTCTTTGCCTCCCCCAGCTTTGCAAGATTTAAAATAAATGTAGGCATGAAGCACATATTTACCCATAGCAAGTGATTAAATTACAAAATGCCCCCCTCTTTCTTATGTAACTCTGGTAAGTGTTGTTCCCCTCTAGAATTTAGCCTAAGCTCCGCCACTGCATTCCCCGGAGTGAATGAGGGGATTTAGGTGAAGAATGTCGAATACATGTAGGACGTGAATGAGGTGAACCAGTGAACTGGTGGCAGCAGAGTTTGTTAGTCTTTTGTTGAGTTTGATGGAAGAGTAAATTACACTCACAATACACAAACTTAGGTGGTGGATGCAAATAAGTATAGCAACTTGCAAATCGCTCGTTTGGTACTACTTGCTTAGTAGTACCTTAGTATAACTTGTATGGGCCATTTAGTCTTAGTTCACACGGACTAAGCAAGTTGTAGTATCAGAGCGAGCAATTTATAAGTTCTATGTACTGTAGGCGCAATTTACTCTTGATGGAACATATTTCAGTGCCAATACTAGCTTCTCATGAAACTGGCAAACTCAATCCCGAGGCTGACAGAAAAAAAAAAGGCACAACAGAATATGACAAGATATGCTCATGATGGAAAGCATGAACCATCGGTCAATGACCAGGACAGGGGCATGCAACTGTTCGAAGATTAGTAGTGGCAATAAACCACGAGCCAGAGTGATTTAGTTTTAGAATTCAGGGACAAAAGTTAAACCATGCCAAGAGTTAAGGGACACGAAATAGATTTATTCCAAGATAGTAGGGCAGAGTAGAAATCAGATATTAAAACATGGAAAGAGTTCTAAAAGTGATGCTTGCAGATTCACCACTGAGATTCATATACGTTTGAGGCTTAGCGAGCAAAACAGGCACACCTTCGACCATTCCTGCATCAATGGAAAGACAACGGTTCCAATTCAGCCCTTCGAACCAGGAAAACAGAGTTTACATAACTCAAAAGATCAAAATACATTCTCTCTGGGATCACATATATGGAGCCAAACCTTCCGCAAATAGTGCCTTGAAGTGATGCCTGGTCGGAGATATACCCTGAGACTGTGCAAACATGTCTATCATATCAAACCCAGCCTGCAGCGAAATGGGGTGTCACAGGATCTGAAAATAAATCATTGAAACAATTAAATGACCAAGACAAGAATGAGATGCAAAGCTTACATTGTGTCTGGTGCAATGATACTTCTCACCAGGGTTACCAAGACCAACAAAGAGCCATGGCTGTATCGCGGATCATGATGAGCAGGATGAAGATAATGAGGTCTGAGAGGTTGAAATATGACGCTTGGATATGAAAGGGGCAAGTCTTGTCCACGGCTTTCCTCGCATGGCTAATTACAAACATCCACAGATCCAAAAACAGATGCAGCAGTCTGCAGCAGAAAACCAGATTATTCTTCCAGATACACAACAAAAACAATAGTACATATAGTAATAAAAAATATGATAAGACTCGCTCATTTATTGATTTTAAGGGCAATGATGTTTCAGCAATAAATTTCTTTGAGTCTCCAATTTGTAGGCATTGACAGCTTGATTGTTAGATGATATGTACAAAGGAATATCTAAATGTGCACAACACCTTTCTACCCTAACAACATATAGAGAACAGTTGATTTATTATGCACTAGTATAAATTCCAAACAGGGCATGGAAGTCTTCACTCAAGCCTGCTTCCTCTTTTGAAGATGAGGTGAGTTTCTAAAAAATGAAATAGCTCAGAAAAATTAAGTTGTTTAATTAATCAATGACATACCTAACAAAAGTAGCTTGATCTCACATCAGGATCACCGTAGCACGTACTCCGTAGTAACTATAATATTGTTGACCGAAAGTGAAAATAAAAGTTAAGGATGTGTTGGGTATGACTTTAGAACTTGGATGCAAATTGTGTGAAGTGAAACTTATGCACTAGTGGAGGGAGCACGATTATTTGAGGAGAAATGAAGAAACGGCAGCACTAGCTGAATGAGCAAAAATCCACTCCATGAGAGGAGAAGATAATAAAAAGGGGAGAGTAGAGTTGGAGGGAGAAGAAATCACGTGTGGCTGGAATGAAGGGCGGAGGCGGAGTGGGATCCCCGGGCAGGGCAGCGTAACGAAGGAAGCAGGAGAAGAGGCGGCTGGACCTCACCTAGCTATATATAGGACGACGGCAGATCCACACAGGTGCCCGCTGGTGGTGGAGGCGCCGGCGCCGGGGAAGGCGAACGAGGTGGGATGCGGGAGGCTGCGAGCGATGGAGAATAGTAGTGGGCTTCCCCTTCGAGGCCGGCCTTTTTAATTAGGCCTGAATGGGTTTCAGGCCCATTAACCTACTGCCCGGCCTAATATGAATCGGAAGGGGATTTTATTTTATTTTGTTGCCCTCAGCCGCGGAGGAAAGGGGTTTAGCAGTAGCAGTAGAAGAAGAAGAACCTTGATTGAAATCCCTAACCCCAACCAACCTACTGGAGGAGGAGTACTGGAGTAGAGAGCGAGCATGGCGAGCTCCCGCGCCGCCAAGCGCCCCAAGGTGGATCCCTCTTCCTCCTCCTCCGCGCCGCCGCCGCCGCCCCCGCCCCCGCAGCGTGGGGACGACGACTACGTGCCGGGCAACATCGTGGAGATCGAGCTCTGCAACTTCATGACCTACGACCACCTCACCTGCCGCCCCGGTCCCCGCCTCAACCTCGTCGTCGGCCCCAACGGCTCCGGCAAGAGCTCCCTCGTCTGCGCCATCGCCCTCGCCCTCGCCGCCGACCCCGCCGTACTCTCTCTTCTCCTCTCCTCTCCTCTCCTCTCCTGTACGATTGATTCCATGCTACTCTAATACTACATACCAATGCACTGCAGATTCTCGGGAGGGCATCCAGCGTCGCTGCCTTCGTCAAGAGGGGAGAGGACTCCGGCCATGTCAAGATTTCCCTCCGCGGCAATACACCCGACCACAAGCTCTGCATCACTAGGAAGGTCGATACCAACAACAAGTCTGAGTGGCAGCTCGATGGTACATGCTCTCCTTACTCCTCATTACACAAACCGATGCTTATTTCTTTCACTATCCTTTTTATTCAGCAAATGGATTGGATTTGAGGCGATGATTCCTGCATCACTAACATTTGTTTCCTGCAGGCACCACTGTCCCCAAAAAGGAAGTCATTGATCTCATCAAGAAATTCAATATTCAAGTCAACAACTTGACCCAGGTGCACCTCCAGTCCATTTTAGATTCAGCTCTTTTACATGATCCATTCCTTATCATTTTCCTTTGCATGCCATGATATTGTAATCCAGAGGAGCCACTCACTTACCCTTTTATCGTGAATCTATTCCTGATTTCTGTTGCTTTTGTGCTCAACTCTGTTCAGTTTCTTCCTCAAGACCGAGTATGTGAATTTGCGAAGTTGACACCTATCCAATTACTGGAAGAGACTGAAAAGGCTGTTGGAGATCCTAATCTACCTATCCAGCACCGTCAGCTTATAGACAGGAGTAAGGAATTGAAGATTCTTCAAGTGGTAAAGCTGAATCATTCACTATTCACTCTTTCCTTATGCTTGCTTGGACCAGTGAAAGCTATTCCCATTTCCTTGCATATCTTGTTTAGATGTCAACCCTATGGTATCGATTCACGATAAATTTATCTCGTTTGTTAGGCTGTAAAGCAAAAGGAGCAGACTTTGAATAATCTAAAGGCCCTCAATGCTGAACTAGAAAAAGATGTTGAACGTGTCCGGCAGAGAGACAGACTTCTGAAAAAGGTTTGCAGTTTCATTTTTTTGGTTTGGTAAATTCCCCCTTTTGGGTTATGACATGAAGGGCATAAAAAGTATTTTAGTGATAATTATAACATCTTGTTGGTTTTGTCTTAGGCTGAATTAATGAAGAAGAAGCTCCCATGGCTAAAATATGACATGAAGAAGAAAGAATACAAAGAAGCACAGGAGAAGGAGAAAACTGAGAAGAAAAAAATGGAGGAAGTGGCAAAAATCTGGGAAGATTCTAAAGGCCCTGTCGAGTATGTTTCATGCTCAACTGGCTTCAATTTTTCATTCATTTATAAACTCATCTCTAGAGGTATCTTTGAACTACGTGGGCTAGGCATTTGTTCTGATGTTCTTCGTTATGAAGATTTCCTTTCAAAGCCCTTCAATCTGAATGGATACATTCACGTACAGCCAAGAGGACAGTTCTATTAACTTCCAACCTTGATTCAGTAGTACTTCTATGTTTTGATTGACACACACTTCCCTTTAATTTTTCATATCAATTTCCTTTTTGTACTTGAGTAACACTAATTAAAACAAGCTAGAACTTGATTTATACAGAATATGTTATCACTATCACGGTTAATATGTAAGCATTTTGTGAATCCGATCACTTCATATAAAATGACAGGATTCCTTGGTCATGCTTGCAACCACATGCTAGTATAAGTTTAACTTTATGTTCCTCATCTCCCCTTAACTTTTTTCATATTCAAGTAACTTGTGTAATCATATTGTTTGGATTCAACACAAATCGAATCCCCTCTATTTAATCATTGTACATTATCACATTGTCACCTTAAATGTAAAAGGGAAAAAAGAAGAAGGAAGAATTAGTATCAACCTATACTGGGATAGGAATGCTCTCTGATTACTCAAGAGAGCAACAGATAACTAAAAAGAGGGAGGGAGGGAGGCAGGGAGAGGTCAGGATACATTTTTTTGAATTACCATTGGATATAGTGTACTGCCAGCTTTTTGACATTCTTTTCCCAGTTCTAAGGAAAAGTTTCTCTTCACACTTTACCTTTATGTGACTGGCTTAAATATCAAAGTTTGAAGCTTTAAGTTCTAATAGAATACCCCCCTCTTGTTACTTTCCCTATTTGTAGAGAGCTCAAGAAAAAGAAAATGTCTCATACTTCAAATACAAAAAGGATAAACAGCCATATGGCGGAAAACATGAAGAGGCGCCAAGATATTACACACAAGGAACTACAACTGGTATAAACTCTTCTTTACCTAAATGATATTTCTAGTACTATTTCACTGCTGCAAGTCATTAACACGTCTTCTCTATCAGAAAGGACAATTGAGAGCTACACTGGAGGACATAGAAGATCTGAAAAGACAAGAAAGATCCCGTCAGCAAAGGATCTTGAAGGCTAAGGAAGCCCTTGCTGCTGCTGAGAGGGAACTTGATGATCTACAACCATATGAAGCACCTAAAGCTGAAATGGTTGGTTTATTCACCTTATTTTCCCTAGTTTTTGCTGTCATTTATTTTAGATAACGAGCTTTTGCTGTCATACATCTTTTTTTTTGTTTGCAATTTTGCATATGTAGCATACAAGTATTGTGTACGGTTTATCTGCTCTAGTAATTATTTAAGCCCGTTAATAATTTTATGTTTCTTCACAGATTCAACTCACGGAGGAAATTGCACGACTGACTTGCGATATAAATGAGCTAAAAAGGAAAAAGACAGATATGGAGTCCCAGTTAGTTCGAGAGAGAGAAAATCTGAGGAACTGCTCTGATAGGTACTCGTTTTGTCTATTAATTTCTACTTTGTCCAAGACTTGGGTACCTACTAGCTAGTTATTATTTATCACAGGTTGAAGCAAATGGAAAATAAAAACAATAAGCTGCTCCAAGCATTGCGATATTCTGGTGCTGAGAAAATCAATGAAGCATACAACTGGGTGCAAGATAACCGACACATGTTCAGGGCTGAAGTTTATGGACCTGTTCTCCTTGAGGTTTGTTTACTTGCATGTTCACCAACTATTGTCTGCTTTGCTGATCATACAAGTAATAGTACATCTTCTTTGTACTGCTGTCAGGTAAATGTCCAGGATAAGGTTCACGCTTCGTACTTGGAAGGCCATGTCGCAAGCTATATATGGAAGGTATAGATACTACGATAGCACCTTATGTTCCTCTCTGCTAATTAGTGTGATGCTTATGTTTTACTTTATTTTAGCATTTCCATGAAACAATGGAAAGCCAAGAGGAACACACTTACCAGTGGCTGCTGGTTCTGTTGTGCACTGCACATTGTGTTTTGTTTTTCCTTCACATAGTCAATGTGCTGTTGCAAATTTATCCTCCAGTTGCTGGACATGGTTAGTGTCCAGTAGGATGGCATCTCATTAAACCATTTCTAGACAAGGTCCCTTATTTATTGTCATCATTGACTTGGAAACCATAAAACACTACCATGCCATCTTATTCTTTCCTCCTATGGAAGATACTGCATCTGTAATTAACTGCCATTTTGCTTTTATGTGGCAGTCATTCATTACTCAGGATGCTTCCGATCGTGACCTTTTGGTTAGACAAATGAAGCAATATGATATTCCTGTTCTGAACTTCATGGGGGACAAAGGCATAAGGAGAGAACCATTCAACATCACTCTGGAGGTCAGCAGGCATTGTCCAAGCATTTAATCTAAAAAAAAGCATTTGGCATTTGGGAACATAGATATTTTTCTTACTCCTTTTTTGGCCTAAGTTTCACATTAATTGCAAGTTGTAAGTTCTACATTCACATTAATTGCACATCATTTCATTTCATTAAGAAGGAGAAAAACAGTTACAAAAAAAAACAGAAGTTCTACATTGACATTATTCCCTCATCCTATTTTCTAACTTGTTGTGTATGAACACCCCCACACAAATCGTCTTCTTTTTTTTGGCCTAAGCACATATTCTCTTGTTTTGTCTAAGCACTCAATGTAGGGGCACCAGAGTCATTCTCTTCTGGTGACTTCATCAATCTTAAAGCTTTCTCAGTCTTTGTTCCCTCTTAAAAACATGAAAGAATGGTAAGAGCAATAATTTAGATTGAGTGTGCTGTTTCTTTTGCAGATGCAACAAGTTGGGATCTACTCACGACTTGATCAAGTTTTTGAAGCTCCTCCTGCTGTGAAAGATGTTTTAATTAGTCAGGCTAATTTGGACCGTTCGGTATAACTGTTTATGTCGACTTCATTAATCTATACCAAGCTGAACTGACCAGAATCCTCAATCGTGTTTCCTCTTCTGTTTCCCCCTCTATTATGCCTATATAGTATATAGGTACAGATGAAACACACAATAGAGCAGATGATGTACCAAAGCTAGGCATTTCTGACTTTTGGACCCCAGATAACCACTATCGGTGGTCCAGGTCAAGATATGGCGGTCATTTGTCAGCATTTGTAGATGCCGTCAATCCTTCCCGTCTTTTTATGTGCAGTATGTGTTACAATCTCAACATTAATGCCTGTCAGCTACT